GATATTATTTGAAATATATATATTATATCATTAATCGAAGTGTATTATATATACATATGCATAGTGAATGATACATTAATGGTTATACTGTAAAAAATGAAAAAAAAAAAAAAAAAAAAAAAACAAAATGCTCTTGATGAGACATCGGTAGCAATGTAGCTCATACTATCGAAAAGAGAAATAATTCAAGAATTCATTGTAACGATTTATATTTCGATTAACTAAGATTAATAATATACCCGTTGTTCCATGACTTCCCTACTCAATAATACGTAAGTAAACGGATTTCATTATTATTCAGTTTTTTCTTCGATTAATTCTAGATACTACCATGTATAAATGTTATATTAATTATAGAAATGAATATACATGTGTCAGTATTTCTATCATATACATATGTGGAACTGATCAGTATGTAGTAATAAGTCTCTCATAGAAAACATATGTTTTCATATTAAGTAATAATTTTATTTTAACAATACTTGAATGGTTTTAGGTTAGCAAAAGATGACAGTATTAGAAACAGAAGAAGATTCAGATAAACGGTCTGTGCCACCGAGAAAAAAATTTTGCTTATCTCTCTCCAATCGAGAACGTACATTTTCTAATAACATTTCGCAGCCCCCTCATACTTCTTCCAGAGGGGGCCTCTTCGATAGATCTGACTTCTTTTATAGTTAGTATATAAATTTAATTTTTCATTCATATTCATCTATTTATATTGTTATTTTCTACAATAGTATTTAAAACGTTATTTGTGTTGCTAAGGTACAGGCAAAATGATGAATGGTTATCGCAATCAATTGAGCAATCAGGATGGAAGTTATGATATATCAGGATTAGGAACGGAAGGATTAAAAATAGCTACTTTATGTAATTTAGGAAATACGTGCTTCTTGAACAGCGTTATATATACCTTAAGATTTGCACCATCGTTCTTACATAATTTACATCATCTTGCTACTGATCTATCTAATTTAAATGACAAACAACTACAAACTAAAGTAAATTATTGTTTCTTTTCTTCTGAAAAATCTCAATGTATTAATATTACGTTAATATTAGCGAGTATGTAATTATTTTATTACGACAGATCAAATCTTCGTCTTTGGGTAGAACCGGTGTATCATTAACGGCAAGTGGTAGTCGTAGTTGGAGCAGCAAAGATTTATTGGCCCTAGCTGGTCCAACCGGCGAATTAAATAAACCTCGAATACAAATAGCTACTGAAAAATTACATAGTTTGTTTATGGCACTACGAGCATCAGAGGCAAGGGAAAATTGTGAACCATACCAACCAGATGCATTTTTACAAGCACTTAGGTATGCTTTCATGTAAAAATTTATATATTTGAATGCAAGGTGATATTAACTTTAATTTCTATAGGGAAGTAAATCCCATATTCGAAGGAAATCAACAACAGGATGCTCACGAACTTTTAGTTTGCTTACTCGATAATATCAGAGAAACTTTTCAACTTTTAGTTAGACACAGAGAAAGTCAATTTGGTCAAAACAACGCAAGTTTCTCAGAAATTTCTGCTGAACAGCAAACAGACATTCAATCAGAAGATAGCAATTCAAGCAAACGCAGTGTAAGAAAATCACGAAAGAAGAAGAAGATTACATCTCGAGGAAGTTCTATTTGTTTAATTCCATCTAATACAAATGGCGTTTCTTCATCTAGGCCATATGAAAATGGTCATGTTGAATTTTCCGAAAGTAATGGAGATATAGGAAATCATAGACCAGAAAGTAAGAAGTGTTTTATCTCCGAAGACTTCGAAGGTATCAGTTTGTTAAGAACAACATGTTTAGAATGCGAACATGTTACTGAACGAAAGGAAACATTCTGTGACATATGTGTCCCCATTGATGTTAATAGATCAAATGAAAAAGGTATCCTTAATTGAATATATATTAATTGTATTTGTTATTTCAAACAGTATTCTTTAATAATATTTATTATTTTAGATGATGAAGGACGAACCGTAGACAGTAGCGAGGTGTATAGGCGTGCTGTAGTAACTAGTGAATTTTTGGTTGGTAGGGATAAATATTGGTGTGCACGTTGTTTGAGATATAATGAAGCACGACGAGCAGTTTGTTTCCCTTGTTTACCTCGACTTTTGATCTTGCAATTGAAAAGATTTTCCACCAAGGCTGGGTGAGTTGATACAATGTCATAGATTCATAGATACAACATGCATTTAATATAAATCATAAAAATAAACAAAAAAATAATTGGAATGATAAAATTATAGATCCATGGAGAAAATTAATAATCATATGCCTACACCGTTAACGTTACAATGCTTTTGCGAAGAGTGCTATAACAAGCATGTCCATGGAAATGTTTCAGCGAAGGATCAAATGCACGAGTATAAATTATATTCAGTTATCATGCACCAAGGTGCAACTATGACAGCTGGTCATTATGTTGCTTATACCCGCTTACCCGATGAGTCTGCATTAGCGGAATACTTTAATTGTGACAGGGATAGTAAACGTCAAACAACTGGTCAAAGTAGTAGTAGCACAAATACAAATTCCTCTTCCTCCGATAAAACGTCGGGTATTTTTAAATACTTCAAGAAACCAAGTGTTAGTGAGAACAAGGAACAATTAGTCAAAGTTGGATGTCGCAGCATGGATTGTTGCGGTTTTAGAAATTCTAAGTATACTAAATTATCTGAACAAGGGGTTTGGCTAGAGTGCGATGATGAAGCTGTACATGTAATTCCGCTGAGACAATTAGAAGATAAATTGGCACCAAATCCACGAAATTCTGCGACCCCTTATCTTTTATTCTATGTGAGATCCCCAAGGTAAACCTTATTCTTTTAAATAATGTCGGATGTCTATATTTAAAATTAAAAGTCTCGAAGATAATCGTGCAAAAGGCCTCACTCTTTTCCTCGCCAATATAAAAAAATATATATATGAAAAAAAAAAATAAAAAGAATAAAAAAAAATCGCGCTATGATGTTAAACACACATTCCAGATATATATATATATATATAAAAATATTTATCCTATACAAATTGTATTGGGTTTAGATGGATGTGAATAATTTTCGTAGAAAATAAATTATATACTACAATTGTCCTGTAAATCGATCTTTCGAAAAATATTACATTAAATTATTATTTCAACATGTTAATCACACACGATAATTATATTAGTTACAGTATATGCAATCGAATCAATAGATAAGAAAGAACATAAATTTTTATTTATGTGGCAATCGTCCTTTGTCCTTTTTTCCAATTCCAAATAATGGAGATCAATCTTAACAAATTTACCATGTTTGTATTTACCCGCGATAAGTAATCTCGCATTGCAAACCGCGAAGATTTTAAAAAGCGTTCTTCGATTGGCTTGTTCTTTTTTAGAAATATATCAGCGTTGTTATTGGTCGAACGAGAGAAAATGATAAACATGAAAAGTATTCTTGAACGCATATTAATAATTTAAAGAATTTTGACGTTAGAATAATGAAGAAAGATAATACAAATAATTACGCTGAATTAGACGTGAAAATATTAAAATAATAATTAAATGCATACATATATATATATATATATATACGGGCTTACGATTGTGGCGGCATCTGCGCTATATAGTGGCGGATTCTCAACATATGTTGGAATTAATGTAAATTCATAGATCGTAGGGAAAGGGTAAGGACGGCGGAAAAGTAAAAGAAGGAGGGGGAACATGCGAAGAGGATAGAGGAAGAAAAGAGAGAGATAAATTGGTATGCGTTGAAAAGAAAGAAAGAAAGAAAGAGATAGAGTGACAGAACCGAGTAATAAGGGAAGAAGTAGCGGGAATGCGCATGCGCATAAACACCTAGTCTCGAACCGCGACGATCTTTCGCGAGTATAGTCTTGCGAAGGATCGAAAGGACTACACCCTGTGTTAAAGGAACGGTGAATTAATTAAATCCTGATAGATATATATATTTACTTTTAATCGTTTAAATTACTTGAATAAAAGACGAATTTTCAAGTCGTCAAGATGAGTCTCTTGTTGGAAGATGAAGAAATTGACGAGTAAGTTAATTTTATTTCTTTCTCTTTCTCTCTCTTTTTTTTCCTCTCTCTCTTTTCTCTCTCTCTCCCTCCCTCTTTCTTTCATTTATAAATCTTCCATTTTTTGTATCATTAGAGATTAAATGTTGTTTTTTTAAATGGAAACCGTACCTCGTTTTATTTAATTTTATTTATAATTTTTAATTTATAATTTTGTTATCTTGGCACAGTTTGCGTTCGTCAAGAGGTTGTTGCGTGTGATAAGGGTTGGGTCACGACGTTTTACATCCTCTCATTCTCTCTCATTCTTCTCTTTATTCGTCTTCTTCTTTTTCATGTGCCTTTTTTCCCGTATCACCTTTTTTCTGTTTCACATTGTCTTATCTCAAGGACCTTTTGTTCATTTCGTTCGAAATACACAAGCCCTTTATCTACCGATCGATTTTTTTTCTTACTTTTTTTTCTACAATACGCGGAGTTTTATTTTATTATTTTTTTTTTTTTTATTTTTCTTATGTGGTAGTAAAACAAGATACGAACATTATTACGTTTTGTCGTTATTTAGATATTTTTTTAAATATTTATAATTTAATAAAAACAACAGGCGCGATTTTTAAAGAATATTATATCACAATTACTGTTTTGAAACGAACTTAACGTTTCTTTTTTTTTTCTTTTATAAATAAATAAAAATGATATTAAAAATATTATATTTAAGTATCCAAAATATCGCATAACGAAAAGCGATATTAGAATTCGATGATACGTTTTACATGAAAATCGATTCCACGAAGAAGGTCCCCAATGTAATTATAGACACGATTAAATAAAACAATTCGAAAGCCCATTTTAAGCACGCGATCGCACGACCTAAACCTAATCTCATATTATTTCTATCTTAAAACTTTCTTATATTTTTATTTTTTTTGTTTCTTTTTTTTGTTTTTCTCAAGATCAACTTTTTAGTAAAAAATTACAGTTAGCGTTAGGTGATACTATTTAAGAAGAAGGAGAAAAAGATAAGAGTTCATAAATACAAGTTCGAATGATTTGGTTGCTCTAATTCTAGATCTAGTTTTAACTTTACATTTACCTCTGTCTCTCTCTCTCTCTCTCTTTCTCTATCTATCTCTCTATCTCTCTCTAACACTTGTTGAGTTTCTTTGATGTTAGTTCTCGTCAGTAAAATCACGTTTAATGTTTCTCCTCGCGAATGCATCCAACGAAACCAAGCTCTTTTCGTGATCTTTTAAAAAATATCGAATCTAACTTTTATTCACATATAACACGTTAGTATAATATTTTATATTTATTATATTATGAAATTATTATATATTATTATCAATAAAATATTGATTTCAATTTGAAAGTTGAATAATCCTAAAGTAGATTTCCGTGTAGAAGAATTTAGAGATTTTTTATCACAAGCAAACATGAATTATTTCAAATTGATAATAAGGGGCGGATACGAATACTCCTATAACTCATTGTATGTATGTATATGATAGTATATTTTAAAGTGTACGTGTATATATAGGGTGTCCTGTAACTAGTGATACAAACAAGCAAGGAATGATTCAGTTAAGTGCACGCGTATTCTACATTTTTGATTTACAATTAATTTTTCATGCAGAATCACTTCCTACTTGCTTGTACCATCAATTACAGAACACCTTGTTTATGTAGATATGTATATCCGTGGTATATTTAAAATAAGTAATCTTATCATTTTCGTTTTCAATAAAGAATTGGCACATGGCAACGTCAGATAAATATTTCGAGTACCTATCGATTTCCATTCATGCGACATATAGTACGGTGAACTTGGAATCGATCGGAAATAATTTCCTTTACTACCTTTTCTAATCCCTTAACATTTAAATATAACATTAAGTATTATTACAATATGATTATAAATTAATATCCATGATTTTTTGTATATTAATTATAATTAAAATATATTATATTAAATGTAATTACTTTTTAGATCGCGCACGTGATCAATTTTGTTGGAAATCATATCGTTTTAGGAGTAACACATTGTAATTCTAAAATCACATTTATTTAATGATTAAACGTAACGGTATAATGCATAATAATAATAAAGTGGTTTAACTAAATACGTGTCATTTTCAATAATGCGGAATTAATGGAAAATAGGAATAACGTTCTGTATTCGTTATAGTTTGCTAGATATAAACGTGGAATCGATGTGTTTCTATTAATACCAGTATTATAGACTACTATGTAGAATATGTATAGTATTCGTATCGAATACTATATGTAATATGTAATTTACATGTATATGTAGATAAGTGAACATGTTTTTCCGTTCTACAAATTTTTATTTACGTTTTCTATTTGAATGATTTCAGTTCTATTTAAAAATATGTTCATTTTAACTACAATTAAATATCTCATTTGACTTTTTATAATTCAAACATTTTCTTATAATGAAAATAAACAAAATGATACCGGTAGCGAGAATTTTTTTGTTATCAGTGTTTACTCGAATTACATATTCCCTTTCGACGAAAACGAAAAAAGGAAAAAAATCTAGGGTCGTTTACTCGTGTTAATGACGTGTGAAACGAGCAAGTAATGTATTTCAAGGCTACTAGCAAATGGTAGGTTTTTAAACGTGACACTTTTTAAAACATGGAACATACATTCACTTATACATACACACACACACACACACACACACAGATATGAGAATATATAAGTAATACTTAAATACAAGATAGTACTTTCCTTCGAATCGAAGTTGGTAACTTTCAATCTTAAAAACTTACGTACGAAAGAGTTTTAAAACTATCGTTGAAATATTCTAAGAAATATTTTGTTATATTTTTTTTCTTTTTTTTAATTCAATAGTTCGAAAATAATTTTAAGATTTAGAGTTAGGCTCGGTATAATTAAATGTAAATTAACGAAAATCTCGATGCGAAAAACGAAATTACTTCTTCCAACAATCCAATACATGAATACACATACAAAAAGCTGTATACAAAGTATTATCTAGCATTTTCTTTAAAAGGACAATGAATAGAAAGCCGTTCCTGTATGATGTGAGATTTTCTTCCTGCCATTCGGATTTTTTTATTGGATTTTCCAAATAAAAAAAGGATTTAATTGCTTTTACGCGAATAGATTTTTCTCTTTCTTTCATTTATCTTCCTTTCTTTCTTTATATTGAATTTCCTTTGGAATTTGATACTATTGTTCACTTCAATTTTTATTATTTTTTTTTTTTTTTTTTTTTTCAAATTTTACAGTATAACCATTAATGTATCATTCACTATGCATATGTATATATAATACACTTCGATTAATGATATAATATATATATTTCAAATAATATCCTATTAAATATCGTCAGATCCTACTATAAAATAATTCACATTAGATTTCTGCTTAATACGTTTCACTTTAAATGGTAGTTAGAAACGTTTGCGGTCTAAAAATGGACGTACTGCTAGAGGTGCAACGACTTCTTACTTCAGACTACCATGTACTCCTACCCGCAGCTGACTTCTAGTAATAAAAGGAACCAAAAGGAACTAACGAATGTGATAGATAAAGACAAACATATATATTTTATGAACGTTAACTTTCCATCTTCCTTGACCTATCAGTTAATAGTTTTTTCGATTGAACATTAACCTTCGTTTATAATTGAAATAAAAATACTACGTGTATATATTTTTGTGTTTAGTTTTGTAATAAAAAAGAAATCATTAAAATAAATACAATAAATAATAATTTTATCTCTGAAACTATATCTGTAATGATCTATAATTTTCATTAGATTTTCAAAGAAATTAAATTTTCTATTGGTGGGAAAAATTGACCAATGACCGATCATTATTAATTGACCGAAATTTCCTAACGAGACAAGAGAAAGTATGTTATACAGCACAAAAAATTTGACATAGAACCGCAACAGTAGAAAAAAATGAAAAAATGAAAATATTTACCTATTGTTTATATATTATGCATAATGATTAACCTATTTCTTTTCACTATCCTATAGGTTGTTACTTTGGAAATCAATTTTAAATATATCCCCTGCAGGTATACCAACTTTACTTTCATTTTTTCCAAAGTGCGCTTGCGCCTTGAATTTGTGATGCGCATGCGTATAACATACCTCCCACTCATGACGTCACCATTTCATAATTATTCAAAGTGTAATAATTATTTTATACTAATTAACAACGAAGCTATATACAATGAGGACGATCGTGATAGGCGTTTGCGTCGAATTTGTATTGTTGAAAATAACTGAATATCGAGTACGATAATTATCCACGAGGGCGGCGGTGATGTTCTTAAGTTTAGATTTAAGTACGTGTGATTTTATAAATAAACAAATGAAATTAATAGTTCTCTTTGATGTTTTTGTTTTAATTACTGTTTTTATAAATCAGACCAAGCGACTAGACGCGCTCTCTAGTGGCAATAGAAATCATCCTTTCATTATGAATATTGTACCCACATTTATAACACGGCGATCATTCTCCTTGTATATAGGCTCCATGTAATTAACGATAAATAAAAACTATTTAATAAAATAAAGTTGAGAGGAGCCGGACAAACAAAAAGTGAGCAATTGATTGAAAACAAAAAAAAATAGAAAACTTCATTGCTTTGCTTAGAAATAAGAAAAAACGTTTTCGATTTTTCAATTATTAATAACTAATTAAATAATTAATTAATAACGTGAGTAATTATATATGGATTTTGATTGAGGAATTAGTGAGCAATTAAAAGTACTTTTTCATTTTTTTCTGCTGTTGCGGTTCTATGCCAACTTTTCTGTGCTCGTTTCTTCTATTTTATTGCCGACGATACGAAAACGTTTGTTATCATTCGTAGAATACAGTGGATAAAATAGATCTCTTTTTCTTTATATTTGAATTACTCATCTCCTATAAGTGAATTAATATACGTATATCATTTCCGTTTGTATTCTTACATGTGTGTGCGTAAAATTTACCGCCAATTTTAGTTTCTGCGTAGTTACTTTTTGAAGATTTCCCTAGAATGATGACGCGGTTATGCGAGTGGGCGATTGGAAACCATAAGTGCGCGTTTGGTGTTCGTGATATTTATGTGCAAAAATAATGTGTTTTCATAAGTGGATGAAGGAAACGGATATTATCTTACCAGGATAGATTTATTCACCGTCGATAGGAAAAAACTACTTGGCCAAAGTTGTATCTTCATCGACTGTGATTACTTTTCAATGGTCAATCCTACCTGTTTATGTAAATACATACATGGATTTTTTTAAATATAAAATTAATAAATTTATAAATATATGCTTAGAATATTATCATTAATTTAATTGATTATACAACATTTAGTTTTCTTTTATAATAGAACAAATCGATTGTTTAAGAATCAAAGATACAACATACGTCAGGATTTTTAATATCTATCAAAATTTTGTTTCTACTATAATTGGCGCCATATTCAAATGCTTCGTTGATATTATTTAATCCGAATATCGCTGATATACGTGGACATATCGTACCTTCTAATCGATAGTCTAGTAAATTTTCCATAGTTTCTCTATAAAAAACAATATTATAAATATGATTATACGTTTAAAAAAATGTTGTTGTATATTATTTTAATAAAGATCGAAACTAGCCTATATATAAAAGGATCGCCATTCTTATAATGTTCCATTGCCAGTGTTAAGATGGTATAATTCAATGGGAAAATATATCGATATGAATACTTCGAATCTCTCGCATAATCGAGAAAAGCAACTGTTCCTTCGTGTTCCAAACTAAGTAACAAAATTATTATTATTGTAAATTGCATCAATTAACATTTTTCAACTTATATATTCAATATATTTATATCATTATAACATATAATTATAAAATTAATGAAATAAATGTAAGAGATTAATTAAATTAGATTAATATTTTATAATATTTGTGTTGCAAACTTAACAACAACAAAAACGTATACTATTATTATTAAAATTTTTTAAATCATGTTCACATTAAATTTTAGATAAATATTTTCAAACCATTTAAGAAGATTTTCAAAATCCGTTCCACCAATCGTATCGATAATTAAACGGACTTCTCTTTTGCCAGTAATTCGTTCTAATTTGTCGCTTAGTTCACATCTATTTCTATCGATAATCGCAACAGCACCAAGATCAATACTAGACGCGAACAACGTCGAACTATTGCATACAATAATTGGCTGGGAAAGCGTTAATTAATTATTTCATTAATAACTTCTAATCTCAATCATTATTATTCTTTAATTATTAGGCTTTACCTTAGCTTGAAAGATGCATGCTGCGATATTAATGGCAGCCATTGCAGAGAACATCGAATTCGTGTTAATTAAGAGATACTCGTCTTTTTTTAATTGAGTTCGACGACCAAGGATTAAAAATGGCGAAAAATAATCGTCGGTTAAACTCGCTGCATCTCTCATTGATAAATTCTTCTTTTTTCCGAGACTAAATACATTCTAATTTTTATCGCATTATTAAACTCGATAGAAAATCCGGTATATTAGTTTTGCAAGAAATTTCGAAAACAATTTTCCGCGAGGGAAAATATATATAATAAATATATATAAAAAAAAAAAAAAAAAATAAAAATGCAAAACATTACAATTATCGAATTTTTAAATGAATTATATCTTACCTCATGATGAACAATGCACGTTTCTGCGAATGCACCAAAATTCGGATAAATGTGAACCAATACTTCTTCGCCCCAATAACAATGATTTTTTTCCTGAGCTACTTTGCCTATTTCTACAATTTTACCGGATGCTTCAAATCCAAGAATCGTTTCTTTCTCAACAACTCTCCGATGTTCGTTAGCCCACAATAACATATCGGTCATCGTAATACCACAATAATGGACCTCGATTCTAACCTTTTGTTAAAATTCTGCTTCCAATTGAACAATTTTTTCATTTCCATTCCCCCTTCCTTACTCTTCAATTTGTTGTTTAAATTGATTAACAATTCAATTTCACTAACCTCTTCGTCTCGAATAGTTTTTTCTTCAACAAGATCGAGTCTGAGATCACGTGGACCATATAATTTGGCAACTTGTATCTTTTTTCCAGTATAATCCCTCGATTTCATTTTCAAAAGTTTAATAATATTATCCAATTTCATTTTGAGCCATGACATTTTATTATTATTAAAGACGAGCACGATTCACGATGATATCAATTTTTCTTCGCAAAATATCATTATAGCATTTATCGATTTAAACGTAGCATACATGTCTCTTACATATAATTATATAAATTGTATTTTATATTTATTATTATTTATTTTTTTTGTGTATATTATATCGCTATGGCAATGCGATATTTCAAAGTTCGTATCTTATAAAGAGTCACGCCATGTCGGTGGTGAGTGACCCCTCCCCTCACCATCACTATGAAACCATCATCTCATCAATACTACACTATACTCGTCGTTCAACCTTCTCCCATTTCCTACCATCCCTATAAGGTTGTTTATCCATTCTCTCTGCATTTGGCATTTACTAATCTTCTTTAACCCTCCTCCTTCGGTCCTTCATGAAAACATTACTCCGAGTAAATATATATACATAGATAAATGATAGAATTGACAATAGGAATATAATGTTTTAGAGGTTATCACGAATGTATTTTATTGTCTTCTCTTTCATTCTTTCTCTACCTTTCTCTATTCTCGTTTTGCATATAGTATATAAAGCGTACCACCATAAAGAAAGAGAGAGAAATATGGTCTTTGCATCATGGTTTCCTGATCATGTGAGGCCAACCGTTGCGACTCTCGATGATTCCTAAGATGGCTTCTCTCAAGTCTTCTCTCTTTCTTTCGAATTCTTTTAATTATAGTCATCCTCTCTATTAAAAGTTGGTTTATTGTAAAATAATGAAAGAAAATATTGAAAATTATTTATTCTGAAATATAAATAATAATTCATATTACTTATAGGGGTTGTAGTATTCTTTATTCACTTGTTTATTACTTTATTGTTATTATAGTTTACATATAAAAATAAAAATGGAGAAAGTAAATTATAATTGATAACAATTAAAAAAAAGTAATAACTAGTCGTTTTGAACAGTAATGTTTTATTTCTTTATTATAATTAAATATATGTTGGTATCTCTTGTAATTAACATATAGAAATAAAATATATTGAATGATTTATTAGAAAAATAATGACAATGTAATAAAAATAATGATCTATATTATAAAATAAATATTTTTACGTATGCCGATAAAATTCTTGTGTAAATATTATTCTAATTAATTGGTTTATATTATTGATATAAAAGTCTAGTGACTCTGAAAGATTACCAACCCATTTTTCTACAACCCTTGGATAACGAGATGGTATTCCTTCTAACCTCGTCGACATTCTCTCTGTTTCTGTGACCAGAGGAAGAAGATACTCGAAAGCTTTTAAAAGCGAAACGATAGAATTGTTGAACTCTTCGTAACATGTTATCCTGTTTCGTGATTTTCTAAGTTTGGTATCAGATGGCGACCGTTGATGGACAACAAGCCAGGACCACTCGAATCCTGTAGAAAGAAGAGTTGTCGTTTATTTTTAATCGAAGGATTCTCAAGTATCCAATAGTATTCCATCTAAAGCCTCTGTGATTTCGTGAATTCCTGTTCCTTCATACTAGCTAGATGCTTTTAAAATCATTCGAGCGGCAAATTTTCATTCCTTAGGTCACTATAATTATGTCTTTTAAGGTTGGTATTTCTTCTGTTTCTAGTTCTTGTTTACATACTTGTTAGATTTATTAATATTTTGTTTGTATTATTATGTCACACCAAAAAAATAGTTTTATGAAGAAATGTTAAAGATAAATTGTAAGTTGATATCGACACTTCATTTTGCTTTCTTTTTTTGTTTTTTCATTTTATTTATTTTCCAAGAAAAAGTATTATGTACAAAATTCGATTGCAAATATTCGTTTTCTGAATGCTTGAATTTAA